GGGGGGGGGGGGGGGGGGGGGGGGTCTGACAACAGAAAGTAGAGATTTACACACAGCACATTTGTATTTAGTTAACCAAATTTAATTTGCTAAAACAGGAGCGAACTGATCTAATGTCAAATCATTCATAATCTGCCTGTCCTTATGACTTGAGAAAAGCTCTTCATTTAAACACAGATTTTGGATTTCCATTGACTCTTGACTTTTTTTTCAAAACTCAGAGTTTTCTCAAAATGAGTCCAGGATGAATTTGAGTTTTTTTCAGCTTAATAGGATAAATAAAACAGTGATGTTAAACCTGATTAGGATTTACTTAAAAAAAATCAGCATTACTTTTTGGGGGTTTTTAAGGATTGTGCATCCATATGTGGCTGAACAAATGATTGTTTGAGAAACACCTCTGATCTGGACTTTTAGAACCACTGGGATGATTTTCTCTGAGTTAACAGCATTTGAAAATATTAAATAAGATTATTCATCACTTCACATGAAGAGAAAACATGTGGACTATGAATCTAAAGCAAAAGCCCCAAATTTATGTTGAAGAAATGCTTTCTTGTAGCACCCCCCCTCTAAGTTCTTCATCTTGACTACTTAAAACTTCATTAATTAACATGCAAGACTGTTGTGGTACAGGGGTGTGTTTATTTTCAGTACAGGTTTGCATTAGCTTTGATTCTACATAGATTTCTCTTTAATCCTATATCACATGAGAAAATTGGTTACAGTTTTAATCTCAGAGATCTCAGAGGTTTTAAAGGAACTGAAAACGTATCTGCTTCGCACAATCACTGGTAACATATTTCATATGAAGGAAACTATTTCAAACATTTCCCCATGAAGGCACTTTCAGTTTACTTCTTTCTTACCGACCTGAAAATAAATGTTAAGAGTTTTCTGTCGGCTTCTTCTCCTGTTAAAAATAAATAATTTGATTAATAAAATGGTATTCACTGTGTCCTCGTGTTGTGGAAGTCTATAGGTCTTTAAAAAAAAATCAACGTTGCAGTACAACAATAATATTTGAATATGGGGAAATTATTGTTCTCATGAAGCTAGGTCAACAGGAAGTGTCAAAGGCACTGATTTAGATTTGTTTTGCAGGTTTTTATTTAGCAAAAGCTCATTCGATGCCGTGACCATTCTGACCTATTTAATATAAGGAAGTTCTGTCCCTTTAACCTCTCATGCCACTATCAGGAAATCAAAATCTAAAAGGAAACCAAATCAGGTTTAAAAAAAAGAGTTTGGTTTCCTGAGAAAATCTTTATAGACTTTGTGGGTCTATGTAGCACACCTGCCTCAATGTGCACTCCAACACAGACAAATCTTTTTCTCAGAACTCTACAGACATATTTTCAGTACACACAATTTAATCTGTGGAATCAGCACAAAAAACTAATGATTTTATATGATTATATTTAGATTTATATGATTGCATTTCAGAAAAGATTGTGCCAAATATGCCATAATCATGATTATGATCACAAACACAGAATAAACAATCACACATAGCTTTAAAATAAAAATAATTTAGTTTTGTCTTCCAATGTTCATATTTTGGCTTTAGAAATCCATATTTTGAGATGCGTTCCGGGATTTTGAGAAGCATCCCTGGGCTTTTTAGGCGTCATTCTGCAGAGGCTGGTTTTAAGGTTTGACAGCAGATGGAGCCACCGTGTTGGGGTCATTTCCACATTTATCCCAAAGTGGCCTTTTTTGTGCACAAAACGCTCGGTGCGCATTTTTTGGGGCTCCATTTGAAGGGGACTGCGTCGGTGCGCGAAAACAATAGTCCTGAAGGTCCGTGTGAAGTCAAGGCTATTTTTGGTGGGGGCCCGCCTCGCCTGCTATTTCTGTCGGCAGGAGAGCGGAGGGGAGGGAGCTAGCAGGAGAGGGGCAGGGCTTTTCTTTTCTGCAACTTGCCTCCGTTAAGTCACTTTTCAGTTCCTCCTCCGCTGCGCAAACTTTCCCCACCGTGCCGGCGGACCTCTCCCTCCCCTCCCGTTAGGGTTTTTTTTTCACTCTCCTGGATGGAAACGGACTTTTTTCAGTCACCCTGATAACCAATCAGCTGGATTACCTCCAAGTGTTTTGCGCGTCTGTCAGAGTTAAAAAAGGTAGGAAACTCCGGTGGTGGAGACTCTGCCGGAGACAGCTGCACAATCGACAAAAAACGATCTATACCTAAATGTTGAGCTTATCATAGGCTGGGATTCTCTTTGTCCAAAGGAAAGCATGAAGGGAGCCACCTGGGCAGGTGTTTTCTCTGGTTTATGCCAAATTAGCGCAGGACAACAGACGCGCGCAAAGTCCTGAACTGCATTTTAAACGTTTTTTTAAGTTCTTTTTTTAATCTGGAAGAAAATGTACACTTGACTGCCGTCAATAGTAAGTCATCTCCACTGCTTGTTAAAGCAGAGTTCCTTAAAGGGATTTAAATGAAAATGAGACAAAAGTGCGATTACGCGTCGAACCACTGCCATGTTGGTTAACTTCATTGTCAGTTAAAGAACCGTTTCCATGGAAATATTTGAATATTAATTAACATTTCTCTGACTGACTCCAATTCTCCACAACACACATGAAGAGAAACTTATTCTCTTCTATATATAGATAAAGCTACTTTATCTTAATTTTTTTTTGTCGCTCTCATTTTGTGTAAGTGTGTTTTCCTCTGAAATCTGGGTCAAATATTAGACTTGTGGCTGTTACATCACAAAGAGCAGCACATTGTGCCCAGCTGCTCACATCAGGTGGTCAAATCTGCCACTACAAACCTTTAAGGAACTTTTTAAGTCACGTTGAATCTCTAATCCGTCTTTGCTGCTCTGTTTCAATTACAGTTTGGTCTGGTTTTTGTGTGTTTTTGTGTGGAGGTGCTGTTTTTTCTCTTTTTTTTTTTTTTTTTTTTTTTGTTTCTGCAGATGGAATCGGGCCCTTTCGGAGCACCGTAGACACAGACAGGACATCAGACTTCATACACTGACAGGTTGGGCTTTGAGAACTTGCTTTTAACTGTGTGGTTGTTTTTGTGAGGTGGTTAGATTTGACCTGAAAGTATGTCAGGTGGCGCTGAGACATTTACATGAAAAAAAGGGCATCCAGTGTAGAGTCAGACCCTATAGACCGCAGCTTAGCCTTTCTCCAGCATCTCTTTTGCAGCGTGCACACGCTTTTCACTGTTTGGGGGACAGTCCAGACTCGTTTAAGCTGCCTGATACTGTGAGAACTGCAGTGAAGCTCAGAACAGGTGTTGGCCTAGTTGGACAGATGCAGACTGTTTGGGGGCCCCCGTTTTCCGTGGCTTTGGAAATCAGTTTTGCCGCAGGTCATGCGGAATTTTTTGTTTATGCGTCGCAGTCGTCAGATAACCGCTTCAAAAAAGTTAGGCCTCTTAATTGCTCCGACAGGATATGGACGCGTAAATGTTAGCTTACAGCACCGCAGAGGGGATTCGCTTCCCATAATTAAAAAAAAATTTCACTTCCAGTATTTTCACTTTATTTTATTTTTTTTCAACCAGTCCAGTGACCTACTTGTGATGGAATCCCGAGAGCCGTTCCTTTCCATGCAAATGAAGCAGAAACGAGACGCATCAGAAACGGTCCAGAAGCATTTCTGGGAAGTTAACTTTGGTTGCAGGGGTTTTTCTATCCTGAACGTGGCCATGCTCAGATAATAGGCACGTCGGGAGTTTACAGCCGATGTGATGAACCTCGGCTCACCCTTATGTCAAGCGACACCTATCTTTACAACGCCGAGGAGATAACCATCAAATTTCCGTCAGCTCCATATCCCCGTGGCAAATATTTTCTCCGTTCTGCCCTCCCCTTCTCTGTGTGAGGAATTCTAAAGGCAGCGCTACGACCCAGCCTGCCGTTGACTCACATTGGGGAGAAAAAAAAAAAAAAAAAGGTTTCTCTTTCAACCTTAGCCCAGTGGATCAAAAAATTTGATCCACTGCTCCACCCATCGGGAACAAGTCACCCGACTGAGTCTTTGTCTCGCTGCCGGTTACTTTAGATTAGCTTTCTCCGCTGTGAAGCATGCCTGTGTGATCACACTGTGTAGGATTACAATGCATGACTCTTTGAAAGGGAGCCGGCTCCGGCTGTGCCAGGCTCTGCTGAATGTACGCTAACCGAGTACCCTCTGTGTGCCTGTGGAAAAACCCGGTGAGGTCATTGTCCTGGTCACAGAGTCTGGTTACATCTGTGGCGTCCAAGAAGGGCAAATGGCCTTGGTCTTCTTGCCTTTGTTGCCCTCTTTCTTTCTGTCTTTCTGTCTTTCTAGCCCACCGATGCACACGTTTACACAAACCGGCCCGATTGAAATCATCTTGGCTGCTGGGCGTAGCACGCTTGCGTCAGATGTTTGTGTGTTTGAAGGGCTGGTTAGCAGTCTAGGGGTGGCAGCCGTGTGTGCCAGATGCGTTCAACATGTGAAACCACCATTTTAAACCCCCCGGCGATGCTCAAACGGAGTGTCAAACTACACAGAACGCAATAACAGAGACCTGAAGCACGTCAGATTTAGACCTCACATGCCCAGATCTTCATCGTCTTTGGTCCTCCTATGCTCCTGATCCCAAATAAAAAAAGCAAACCGACACGTCTAAGCCTTCTGTATCTGAAGACGGGTTTAATGACGCATGCGTGGATTAGATTCACAGCACACAAGCTGAGAGGACCACCATGAAAACCTACATCTAATATGTGATATCTTTCACTTTCAAATGTCTTGCAGAAGAGTGCTGCTCATACACATAAAGATCAGGGACAGTTGTATGGAGGGATTTTCTGGTTAATTGTTCAATCTGTGGGTTTGTCATTGTCATGTGATTCCTTCTCCTCTTTTAGGATGCACATTTCTTCAAAAGAAAAGTAATTCCCTCGTTTCTTTTTGTGTGAAAACATTTGAAATGTCCCGGCAAACAATCCCCGCTAAACATAATCTGTACGAATGGCCTTTGAATCAAGACTTGGGCATTGATCTCCACTAGCCATGGGGCCGATTATCATTGTGACCAAGACATTTCAGCCACCTGAGTTCAGCCTAAAGATGTGCTGTGAACGGACACTTTTCCAGTAAAGTTTAACAGCAGCATCCCAGCTCTTGGCAGCCTGTAATCCCTCACCTGCCTTTAAGGCTCGCCACGCCGGCGCTCCTCTGTCATTAGCCATGACATCATCTATTAGTCCAGCCCTAGCCTGGACTTGAAACGGGACGTGTTTGAGGCAGTTCGGGATCTGTTAGGTGGTGAAAACATTAGCCGTTCTGGTATGGGCGGTGAGGGGTTGTGTACCGGACCCTCTAGATGTCCAGCGGAGTCTCTATATTTTAGTTTGTTGTTCTCTTTAAATGTTTGAATGTCTCTCCTTTTCGGTTCGCAGCAGTTCACGGAGCAGACCAGGCACAACTTTAGGGACAGATAACAAAGGGAATGATTGTAGTAGCTGCAGAGGAGATCACATATCCTCTTCCTGGCTGTGGTTTCTAAATACTTGGGGCAGCTGGTCACGGTTGTTGCCGCTGTATCGTCGAGCTTTCCGAGTTATTTACAGCCACTGAATTTAAAAGGAGGAGAGATTAAGAAATTGTATGGGTACTGATGATTTTACAAAACATATTTTTATTAGTTTTATAGTATTTGTGTAAGTTGTTTTTTCTATATATGACGAATTATTTGGCTGTTTTTTTTAAAGAGAAGTTCAGAAAACCCTGGTAAACAACCTTATGAACTGGAAAGGCCACTGGAAACGACTTGTTGCTATCACTCTTTATTCAGCACAACCTGACGAGAGTTTAACATTAAATCGGCCGATTTAATCTTCTACATAGTTAATATGTAACCGAACAGCTCTATGAGAACGGCTGCTCTGCTTAAACCATCTGACAAACTCAAATCCCCAGTGTGTGTGTGTGTTTTTTTAAAATTCCCGAACGGGATAAAGTTATTAAATCCCACAAAGGAAATAAAATAGTCTTATTTGTACCGATGAACAGCCACAGTAACCACCGCAAACATATTGTGGTGGTATTTAACTGCGAGGCCCATTAAGGCCAAACGGTCGTGAACAGACAGGCTGTGCCTCAGTTCTGCTTGTAATGTTGGTAATAGTAGATGGCATTGATGGAGGCGGCTATTTTTGCCCTGTTGAACAAATGGCTCGATTGTCCTGCCTCTAGGTGCATGAAATCACTTGATATGTCAGGGGTAACGTTATATAATACTCTCAAAGGGGCCCCACGAGACTCCGCATGGTGTGTATTAGCGTGTGCAGTTGTCTCCCTTTTAATTCTTTTTTAATTGTGTGTGTGTGTTTTATCCGTTTCCCAGGCTAGTGCCTAGTGATGGTTTATCGTTATAAATGGGATAGGGGGACTTTAATTGTACGCGGCGTGGCCCGGAGGAGCGCTGTCGGTAATGTTTTATTAGTGTGTCAAATCAATTTATGTTGCATTAACCTTTGAGCTAAAGGCTTCTCGCTGTGGTCAGCCGGGCAGCGGGTCTGTTATTGGCCTCCTGCCGGAGTCTGTACGCCCCTCAGGGTGTCTCCTTCCTACTTTGTGTCTCGCCTCCAGACACAATGGTGTGCTTAATCCAGCTAAAATTTTCTGAAGTCGACTGACTTATTTAAAAAAAAAAAAAAAAGAAAAAGATTTATTCCTGTGGCATTTGGTGGGGAATAGCCTTCAATTTTCTCCTCAGTCCCCACTCTGCTCCAGACCAGAAGCCCTTGGATGTAAATAGGCATTCTTTAGCCCCGAGTGACTTTTATTTTACCGTTGGCTTCTATTAAAGCTGAGTGGCTTTTCTTCAAAATCACAGTTAGCTCAAGTGATTTTTTTTCCGAATGTCTCTGTAAAATCCAGATTAAACAGTTATATCATTTATATACGGGACAACATTCTGATAGCTGAAAGCGTAGAGAGCGTTGCTCAGGCTGGCTTAAGCATGCGTTTTAAAAAAAAAATGGACCCCGGAGTGGTCCGACTTGACTGATTTGGCCGGCATTGTGTGCGGATCAGCGAGGTGACTGACTCTGACCTGGGATCAGATGGCTTGTTTGCCGGCTTGGATGTAATAGGATCTCCTCTCATCTGGGCTAGACTCCCGGCTTTACATGTGGCTGTGAATGTGTGTGTGTGTGTGTGTGTGTGTGTGTGATGAATTGTCTGGAGTGACGTTTACAGCTTCGGGCTGGTTCCACCAACTCTGCTGGGAGGAGGAGGAGGAGGAGGAGGAGGAGGAGGAGGAGAGTGACACAGAGCACGTTTAATTCCTGGCAGCCCGCTTTGGGCCAGTTTGACTTGATGAGTGTACTTGTTTTGTTGTTTTGGGAGGACCGAAAGGTTACTTGAAGACACTTAAAGATCTGAGATCTGCACACATGCTGCACAGATGACGGATAACCAACTATACCATAACATGGAGGAATCTAAACAATAAACTCATAATTAAACATACGCAGGGATCTCTGAGCCAAGTCTACCTATTATTTCTAAATTTTTCTCTGTATCTGCCACATATTCCAGGCTAAAATTTGAAATGACGAACATCTGGTGCAGTAGATTGAATAAATCAATAATTTGTTGTATGAAACATAAAAGTCATGCACTTAAGAAACCTGAAAAAAAAAAATATGAAAGCAAAAACTGTGTTTTTTCTTTGACTGCATTGATGGAGGAAGTCAAATTTAGTTAAACTTTTGCATGAAGTGCGTTTGATAAATGAGGGAAAGTGATCCGTTGCCGTCTGTTGAATATTCTTAACAATGGGTGACGTATTTTTGCATTGTAGGTTTTACTCTCACAGCCACTTTGCAGTTAATGATCACTCAGCGGGCTTATGCTTTGATATCTATCTGCTCTGTTATTGGTGAAGGATTTCACATCCATCAGTGGGTGTGCTGCATCATTCACCAAGTCGGGGTCATCCTGTCCCTCCAGCGTCTCAGAGAAATTCTCTTTAGAGGAAGTGAATAACTCGCCTCAACTCATTCATCAGAGTTCAACGTTGCATCACAGTTTGCTCAATTCCTAATCATGATATACATTTTTTTGTTGTTGCTGTATTTCATCTTAGTTATTTGTAAAAGCTCTGTGCACAGGCTCCAAAAATATTGTTTTCAATGTAGGGTAATTTAACTTTTAAAAATAAAAATAGTGTCAAGATTTCTCAAACATTGTTTGATTTTACCACCTATATCTTTTGTGCATGCGTGTGTGTGGATTTGTGGACTGTCCTGGACAACTTTGTATTCCTTTTATATGTGTGTCTTTGTGTTGTGTGTGTGTGTGTGAGTGTGTGTGTGTGTGTGTGCACGGACACCCCTAGCAAGAGGGCAGAGCATGTGCAGGAATGTTAATGTCTTCTATCTTTGTTGTCTGTGTAGACTGCAGAGTGTGACCGTGCATATTTATGAACCCTTTTTTTTCCTGGAACATGTTAACTTTCACCAAGAGAAGCACATAAATTAAAAAGAAAAAACAAACTTAGCACCAAATTTTCCCAGCAACCCAAAGATTTGGATCCATTTTATGAGGGGAAATACAGTCGGTGATCATCATCTTGATTTGATATCTTTGTTTAAAACATATATTTTTTGCTTTTCTTTTTAAATTTTTTTTATTTAAGCCACAAGGAATAAAGGAAGACGTGATACATGTATTTTGATGTCGCACACACACAAATCTTGAAACTGGAGCGTTTCTCTGGCCATTTGTCCTTCAACACGCTGCGTTCACACAGAGAAAACAAAAATCCTCCATGCGAAAAAAAGTCATGCAAACATCATTGCATCACGAAAAATATCCTGCTCATCACTGCAAACCTGAAGCAGTTTCTAACAGCATTTTTGAGCAGCTGTTTCCTAAATGGGGGAGATTAATATTACACTAACTCAATTATATTTCTGCATTTAGCAGATGCTTTTATCCAAAGCGACTTACAAAAAGAGGGTTTAACATTCAACTACCACACCAGTTCCCCTCTTACACCTTGAGTGCAATATGCCAGAAAGGTATTTAACATTAAGGATTTAACATTCAACTTTAACATAGATTACACACGTACCAAACATTGAGTGCTACATGCTGTCAGGAAAGAAGTGCATTTAAAACTTTCAGGACAAGAGACACTGGGTCTCCAAGGATATCTTGAGGGAAGAAAGAGAATGTGATGCTCTGATAAATGGTTGATTATCTACAACTCGGTCAAATCAGTCAAAAGTATGAAAGTGAAAGGGAATGACAGAAATGTCAGATTTTGCTGAGTAAAAACCGAGCTGTGGATGAAGAAGATCGAGATGGCTGCAGTACTGTGTGGTGCGTGTTTGTTAGAAAAGATAAAGAGGGAGATCCCTTTGAGTGAGCTGCTGTATCTGTTGTACAGAAGATTCCTGGTTTGATTTTCTTGGCTTTTGTGTCAATCTTTGCGCACAACTGGAATTTTCAAACGCTTCACTTTAACGTTAAGTGAGTTTTTCAACTTTCAACTCTTATGAAACAGTGGGATTACAATTTGTTTTCCTTTCTTAAGGATTTCACTTTGGTGGTATGTAAATTTTAAGAGGGGTTTATAATAGTTTACGGGAAAATCTGGTTCTTATAGCCTGATATTGTCTAAAAGGCTGACGGTATTCCGGGATTTTTGCTAACTAGATCCAGAAAACTTGGTTTTGCCATTGCCGCCCGTCGAGGGATGGTCACTCATGCAGTTGAGCAGTTTCTTGACCGTTCTTATATGTTAATATCTGACTGCTTTTCCCAGAAGGGGGTCTTCCCTTTACCCAATTCTCATCACCTTTGCCCGAGTGCACACAAATAGCTAAAGCGAAACATCCGTGATGTTGTCGTTCTTTTACTGTTTATTTTTAGAGAAAGCCGATGCGACTTTCTTTTCATTTAAGTCTCAGGTGGACTGCGTCATGTACATTAATGTGAGGGGAGCGAGTTACTTTGTGTTCCTCTACAACCGTTTGTGTCGATGGCGGGCGGAAACCGGCCCACCGGTGTTGTGTTACCACCCAGTTTGCAGCCAGATTGTTACTGAATTATTCACTGCTCTAATTGACTTGGAAAAAAAAAGAAAAGGGTACAGGTGTGTGTTCTCACTGGCTTTCTTGTGGATCTGAAATGTGACTGGGATCCACAGCTGCTGTGCGGCGTCAGCTGGAGGAAGCACGGTTTTGCCAAAGGGCATTTCTGAGTTGCTAAAAGTTTCCACATTCCTGGTGTGATTAAGATGCTACTCAGACAGCTTAGGTCATGTCCGACACGCCACATATTCGACTCTGTTCAATCGTGGTGGTGCCTCTTGATTCGTGTCCTTCATTGTTTCGTAATTATTCGAACACGACCAGATAAAAGGCAACTTTTTAAACGGCGAAAGGATAATTGCCGTTGACCTGAAGCCGTAGAATCCACCTCCATTGAGCAGGGGAATCTAATTAAATGCTGATTTAAAGGTCTCGATGCGGCGTTCAGCGGATCGTGTGGACAGGATGTTAATTGTCCGTTCAGTAAATAATGAAGCGATTGTTGCGTGCACACCTGCAGAGTCCTCAGAGGCCGCAGCAACATTCACACAGTGAATTAGTTCCTCCGCGTTTTCCAGCTCCAGGCGACTTTCAACCCCGAGTGGAGTTAAAAATGACAGACGCCCATTTGTTTATGTAGCATGTGAGTGTGTGTGTGTGTGTGACCTGCGTGCGAGTTCTGGAGATTGGAGTATTGTTGGTATGCGGACTGGCAGGATGGAACAGAACGGGCTGTAATAACGCTGTATCATTCCTCCTCTGCTATCTTACACAACATTTGTGAAATTCTTTCAGAGAAAGAAAAAGATAGAATTTACAAAGGTGCACATTAGAGACAAACCCCCCCCATGTTAAACTTAACTAATGCCCGGCTAATAGTCATAAAGAATCATTTATTACACTTGTTTTCACCTGAGAATATTTTTTTTCCTTGTTGCAACATTGCATCTATTAATCTTTGATTATTTTTCTGTGTATTTTCCGTTTACTCTGACACAAACATGTCCTCAAACTATGACCTATCGTGTTAATTTTTTATTTTTTTCTCTCCGCAGACACAAGAGGAAGATTACGTCTCCACCATCGCCCGTCGTATTGACACCAGTCACTAAGAGAGGTAAAGCGTTTCGCAGACGGTGAAAAGATGGCAGCTTTTTTTTGCCGTGTGTGCCCCAAAGCTGGTGGGATTCTCAGAGCATCCGACTGTTGAGTTGTTCCTTGTTTGGTCAAATAATCCGTGTGGTCCAGAGAAAAAGATCCCAGCAATTCAATTCAATTCAATTAAATTTTATTTATATAACGCCACATCACAACAACAGTCATCTCACAGCGCTTTCCAAACAGAGCAGGTCAGACCCTACTCTGAAGTTAATTACAGAAACCCAACAATTCCCACCATGAGCAAGCACTAGGCGACACAGGCAAGGAAAAACTTCCTTTTAACAGGCAGAAACCTTGAGCAGAACCAATAAGCAATCAATAATATGATACATACAATAACAATAAAGATTGCCTTATACACAGTCGTGACACTTTTCTGCTTTTAAGAATGTCTCTGTGTCCTTCCGTTGGCCACCAGTCAACATGTGGTTTGGTGCAAATGGAAAAGTTTAGATCCTTTAGGTTAATGAGGAATAACCCACAGAAATGACTACCATCCTCTCACCAAACTAGTCGTAATCTCCTGCTGTCACGGAAAAATGTGACTTTTTCATCACCTTGTTAGTCACTCTGGGCATTCCTTGTGTTTGTGTCATCGTAGCAACATTTTTTTAAATACAAAAAGTGGTAACTATGGAGCGCTGTGGCATGCATTTCTTTAGCTTCACGCCGTTAGAGCTGGGTGGATGGTGGTGGTGTGAGAATGAGCGTTTTGGGTTCCCTGTGGGAATGTGGAGTTCCCTTTTCCCCACATGAGGTGTTTGTATCTGTTACATGAACATTTCTTACATTAATAGATGTATTGTTGTTAGATCTGATATGGTTTTAATAATTTACCAGACAAAAAGTGCTATTACTTTACATAAGTAAAAAAAAAAAGAAAAAACTTCATTAGCTAAGTTCCATTTGCACTGGATGTTGAATTAAATCAGTCGAATCACAACCATCCGAAGTGGAATTAAATTGATTTGGGGCAATCATTTGTGTCGCTACACCTAGTGTTTGTCTTTTTAAAGATTGTGACTTTATTTACAGCAGAACCTGTTGCCAACTTGGTTGAGTTTCTGCCATATTAATTACTCTCTCATGTGCTGGAGACTGATGCTGAGAGCAGCTTTAACATCAGAATCGCTCCTTTTTTCCCATCTATACAGAAACCCAAAGTTTTCCTGTAGGCACATATAAGGGCTATGTGCGAAAGGCCATTAACAGCCAATACTGTGTCAGTTTCTGACGCCATGCTGATGCTCTGGGATGGGAACGGGTGGCACATCTCCCTACATGAACACTTTGTGGACGCGTGTAAACTTTCCACTCGGTCTGAACCCGCCGATTCTGTGGCGTCCCCCTCGTTAATCACTGCCTGAAAACAGCAGATGACTTTAAGGAAGTGTAAATATTCTTCATTTGTACATTATAAGCACATAAAATGAGCATTTCCTCTGAAGTCGTGTCACATGACCTGGTGCCAGATGTCATCCGGAGAGGTGGCGATGATTTAGGTGCGTCTGGTGTCCTCGCATAACATCGTGCAGTGTTTTCACTCAAGAGGGTAGATCTCATCTAGCTAGCTGTGTTTGCAACACACACACACACACACACACGCACACATGCGTACACACACACAGAGAGACACAAGGCTTGTAGATCTCCTTAAAGTTGCTGACAGCCGCACACACCACCATTTACACTTGAACACTTGAGTGCGCGCCAGAAGAGCAAAGGCTGTAAATATAGAAAATAGTTTGGCGGGAGTTGTAGGCAGGCGCATCCACACGCGCGCACACACACACACACACACACACACACACACACACACGTCACGCATGTGCACGGACCACAGTCTGGCCAGCTGCTGTGGGAGGACGAGAGGTTTTGAATGGGAGTGACAGCTGCAAATTCCTCAGAACGAAGGAGGGATGGATAAAGATTGGAGGTTGGGAAGAATGAGTGTGAGAGGGAGATAAGTTCCAGAAGGAATGGAAGAGAGAAAGGGGAAGGGGGGGGGTGGAAAAGAAGTCATGTGAAGAGCCGTTGCGGAGTTGGAGCCTGAGAGTTGTTATGACAATCCTATTTATTTAGATCCCAGCTGAAAAAACTTTGCTTTTCTCTCATTACAACATTACGCATTACTCACGCCGACATTATTCTTGAATTACGCACACGTCGAGCTTTTTCAAGAGTTATTCCACTGAACAAGAAGTTCCTGGTAGATGGAGCGTTCTACAACTGCAGAGTGAGCACAAACAGGTCTGAGGGTTTTGGAGCATGTGATCCTAACTGTCAGTATGAGACTATTCATAGAGATCCTGTATTGCACAAGACTGATTTAGCAACTCTGTGGATTTCTTCTAGTGAATACAGGCTAATTTCCTAAGCCTTTACCCTATTTGATATGGGATATTTTTTCCTTAGAATCCTGTCTAAACAACTGTGGATGAGCCTGTTTTGGCTGTGGCCTTAAAATCACAACTCGGGACTCTAAATGTCTGGTAGGACTCTCCAGTAAAAAAAATGCTTAGCTGGCAGTACTGAGTCTATGTTGATGTGGAATGGATGGAAATGAGCCACTTAAATGCATTTAATGGAATATTATTATCTTCAGCCAGTTTAATCACAGGGGATTTTTGTATAAATGACACAATGAATGCATAGAAAACTAGATTATACATTAAAACAATATCAAAAGTCTGCAATGAGAAATGATTTAGGGAATTATTTCAGCTAAAGCCGAAGCTCATTGTGTTGACATAATCTTTGAATGAGCCCATTTGGGGCCTCATTCAAAGATCTTTCTGCATTCGGATTAGCTGAAACACAACTTAACAGGAAAGTCAATAGTTGACTTAGTAGTTTTCCATGTATCTGTAATGGTTGTGTTTTCGAAACAACTGTGTGTGTGTGTGTGTGTGTGTGTGTGCCTGCAGGAAACTCATTAATCAGAGTCGTTAGAGGTTGTCCAAGCTTCTTGCTCTTCGATAATGCCTCTGCCAGGGTGAACGGGGATCCGGGAACGTTTGTCTGAATGCCTCTGTGTTTCAGTTTTTTGGTGACGACGCGCCTGGCTGCCCCGGTGCTCAATGGCACTGCGGCAGCAGCGTCACAACAACGGCGAGGAGAGCCGAGGGGAGGAAATGGCAGTCTAAACTCAGCTCTTAAACAGGAAGCCACCCTGGTTCTCTTATTGTTGTGCTTTTATAGACTCCTTCCTGCTGACTGGACCGCCCCCGTTGCCACGGTTACCATCCCTGTTATTTATGGGATGGACCTTAAAGATCTCACAGTGGAAGGACCGAATGGTTAAAGGAGGGCTACTTGGAGAATTAGTATGACATGAACATTTTAGTGAGTTTTTTTGTTTATTAGAGGTTTTATTAGTTATATATGAGGATATAAATATGTTTTTTGTTTAGTTACATACTGTAGATATTGTTTGCTTTTGAAGTTAGTTTAACTTTCCATACACAGTGAAATATTGCTGATATTTTTTGCCTCAATTCAAATCCCAGGTTGCATTTAGAGGCCCGCTAATAAAAACAGAGCTCTTTCTGGGGACTGCAGATGCCCTGCAACAGGCCACTTTGCTCCAGATAAGAACTGAGCTGCGTCAGAGAAAAGAACCTGGGGAGGGAGGACAAGAAAGAGAAGGAGTTAAAGAAAAAAGAGGATGTGGCCGACAGTAAAAGATGACTGGAGGGGAGTGGAGCTCTCCGTCTAATTATAGATTCTGCTGTGAGCTGGCTGAGGCAGAAGTGCTACTGGGGTTTTTTAAAACCGGATATTTACATGACAAACACGGGTATGCGTTCTCAGTTTACTTGTTACCTGCTCTTGTGTGTACCTCTGCATGAGGTTGTGCTTTTGAAGGTTTTTTTCTTTTTTTTTTTTCTCTAGATTTTGTGAAGATCAAGTTGAAGATCAAGTCGTAGGAAAGTGCCTGAGTGGTGCATGCTGTGATTTGTGCCTGTGAGTGAGGCAGCCTGGGGTGATGATAGTGATGCCGAATTCGGAGATAACACAAAGTAGTCAACAAGTGTTCGCTCTCATCTGCCTATCGCTCATTCTGGGATTTTCTCTTGTGTTTTTTACTGCTTCTAATGCACTTGTTTTACCAACTGGTGCAGATTTTAGGAGACACACTGTGCGTTTGTGTCTGTGTGTGTCTGTGTGTGTCTGTGTGTGTCTGTGTGTGTCTGTGTGTGTGTGTGTGTGTGTGTGTGTGTGAGAGAGAGAGAGCAGTAGGGAGCTTGCTGACCTAACAGACAGCAGTTCTGGATGTTTATGGAAACTCAGTGAGGACTTTGGAAACTGGACCCACGCTGCATAATACATCAACCTACCTCTGTTACTGTCACCCTGACAAACACACACACACTCACACACACGCACACACACACACAAAAATATATTGTCAGTTTCTCATGCTGCACATGACTAAAGATGCTGCAAAACAGCTAGCAACTAAAATGCTTTCAAGCCCTTAAATCATTTGAATTTCCAAAGTAAATCAACCGGCCAATTCATTTTTTCTTTCCCCCCCCCATTTTTTAAATACAAAGAGACTCGTCCTAATCCCACTTAAGCAAAGAAAAAAAACCTGAAATGGGTTATTTTCTCCCTGCCGTAGCAAACTGGTTTCATCAGCTTCACACAGGAAGGTTTAAACGGCTATCGCAGCTAAAAATTAAGGTTGTTATTCGCTAAATAAAGATTTGGGGAAATGAGAAGGAGGAAATAGTAAGAATTGACATAAGTGTCCAACTGTGCAGTTCAGTGTCTGTGAATTTCTGCGCGTTTGCGTTTGCAGCCTCCTGGATCAAAGATGGTGCTGCTTAAATCAGCACCGTCCCATCAGGAAACAGAAGTTATCATTTCGGGGCAGTTCCCTTTTTTTGTAAATGTATTGTTTCATATCCTGCTCTGTAATTCTGTCTGTTTGTGTATTTTTAGGCACCTCCAGTTGCTTCAGAAAAAAACAAACCTGAATTTGTTTGCTTTCTGTTAAAATTGAACTGTTTCCTTTGGCAACAGCTACAAAAAAAAGGCTATGAAAAAGGAATTTCTTGGACTAGTAGCGCATAGATTTATTTATTTATTTTTTAAAGCATTTGCATTCATAAAGAAATAAACGTCCATACTGCATAAACTTTCGGATTTCATCATATGGATGATCCTCATGCATGCTAGTAGCATCGCACGACTTTATTCATGTAGAGATCTACGAAGGAAAACAAAGACACTAAAAAGGGGAGTGATGGAGACAACCCAAACTGCTTTACCCATTCATAAGTACCGAGTCATTCTGACTAATGTCTCTCAGCCTTTTTTTTTCTTCCTGTAAATCTATGTAACAAACTTTAACCTCCTTTTCATTCAGTCCTCTTATTCTTCTGTCTGTTGGCTGTTTTGTGTGGGCGAGACTTTTAACCCAACATTAAGGCGCCTTGATTTGCATTGTCTTTTTTTTGGGGTCCTGAGGTAATGACACATCAGTCTCTACTGGAAGTGGCTGCTGCCTGTAATAGGTGCAGCCCGATTGAGACGCGCTCACCCGGGCGCTACAGTCAAAGAGATAAGAAGGTGTCGCAGCTATATTTGGACAAGTGACAACACACAAAGTGGCCTGTTGAGTGTCGAATTAGAGCCGTGTCTGAAAACTGCTGGCACTCTCCTGGCTGTCATCTCGTTCACGGCGTGCAGAAAAAAAAAAAAAAAAAAAAAAAAAAAACACTCCAACCTTGTGGCGGATTGCTGAGCAACTCGCTTTTCTCGTCTTTTGACTTCCTTCTCCTTCTTTTTCGGCCCGAATGCTAAAAATGTCCCTCTTTGCGTTTTTCTTTTCAAGGGGTTTTGTGTTTCTTTGATTTGATTTTTACTGCCAAAGTTCTGTCACACCGACTTACCTGTAAAACCAGTCCTGAAAAAGCCGCACACACGTGAGACAAAAGGCCTGGGAGGAATCAAAGGGAAGGGATCACTTAAGTTTCTGTGTTATGGGAGGGACTATTTTTCACCGTCAATCCCACGAGTCCACACACACCTGCGCTTGGTTTAGTATTTCTGGAGAACCTTTCTGATCTATTTATGTGCCTGATTGATCAAGACGTTCCTAGCCATCTCAAATACCAGTTTCCCTTGATGATTTTCACAATCACACACTGATACTTGGACACAAACTCGCTCACAAACACTCTCACTAACTTGCAGGTTTAGTTTAGTTTAGGCTTTTGTGCTCATTTCTTACTGTTTTAAGAATGACTGTAGTCGCAAAAATGGCCTGTACATTTTTCTATCTTTTCCTGTTTCTACATGTTTTCTTCAACCTTGAATGATTTTTTTTCCCCCATTTTCCAACACTGACTAATTCTAAAGAAGATGAACCAAAAGGATGAGTGGAGGATAGCGACCAAATCTGGATTTTGCACAATTCCTGCTTTGCCTTGACCCGGCTCAACAGGTGTTGTGCAGCTTTAAAATGCTCATGATGGAAATGCAAAGATTTAAGTTCCAGTAGCTAAAAAATCTTTTTTCAAACTGCCGGTGATTCAGATTATTTGAAGAGGAATTCCTCCAACAGAACAGAAACCACAGCAACCACTCGAAATCCCCCTCATCTCGGTGCTGATAACGTTTCAAAGGTTGCGTTTGCGCTCTTAATACTTATTTGACTTTCCTGGCAGTTGGTTTTTTTTTTTTGCCGGCGAACATATCGGCTTACCTGAACCACTGGAGTGGACCCGTGGCGTGATTGTGCACATGCGTCCACAGTAAACCGGGTCCGCATGCGTCCTGTGTTATTCTTACACATGCCTTCTCGGCTCTGTTTGCTTAGAAAAAGCCTCGCCGTTTAAATGAAATCAACACAGAATCTCGACCACAAGGTCAAGATTTGTTTTTTCTTCTCCGAGTCACAACTCCATGCAGATGTAATGAGCTGAAACGCGATATCGTCCTCTAAGAACTATTAACATCAGTGCGTCGTGTTACGCGGAGAGGCCCAGGGGAGGAAAAACCGGAGGATTAAATGTGGCTGCCGCACTATTTGGTTTTTTAGACTTAAAATAACACCGGATACACCAGGACTCCCTTTGATACTCAGCATTATTGTCTGCCAATGGGAGATCGAACCCTTCAAAGTATTACAAAAAAACATCGAAAACAGTTTTATGGGTTCACAACTGAGTAGAAAAATGTAGAAAAATTAAAAGTATCAATGGTAGAATGAGGTCTATTCCCATGGTGCCTTATCTGTGTCATTAACAGATTTTTTTTTCATACTGCCTAACTGAAAATGTACACATTCTGGAGCTTTGAGTCATCAGATATCAACAAGGAAGTGCGTCCAGAAAAAAAATGTTCACTGGGTGCACGCAATGGAAACAAGTGTGCTCAAAGTCAGTCAAAGCCTCTTTATGTCGTCCACGGAGATTCAAATGTCTCATGTACTTCAATAAATTTCCACGTTTTAATAAGCAGAAACCAGAGGTGACATCACCGGATTACTTTACAAGTGTGTGCGTGTGTGTGAATGTGTGTGTGTGTGTGTGGTTTTCCCCACAGAAACAAAAGATCCTGTGTAGGTAAATGTTGGGCAAGTGTGTGTGTGTATGTGTGTGTGTGTGTATCTATTAATAACCCATGGGAGGCAGGGAAAGCATGAGACACTGGTCCTCCCGAATGTGTGTGTGTGTGTGTGTGTGTCTTTATACTGAAGCGGCCTTTGTTTCCTTGTACAAGTGTGTTCTCTTCTTAGTTTCCTCGGAATAATAACCTTATTATTCTTTGTTGTCATTATGGAGAATGCAGGCTCATGTGAATGTGTGCGTTTGCCAAGTGATTTCTGACTCGGCCCATGCTACGCGCACACAAAAATGTTATGTCACATTATCCCAGAAAAAGAAGGAGCGAAACAACTGTGACTACACGGCCATCTCTTCCACTCGGTTCGATCCCAGGGGCCTTTGTTGGCCTTTGGTCAAACCTGTCTGGGCGATGTTTACTTCTCACGGTGCAACACCTGGCATAGCAGCACGCACATGATGTCAGAGGCATTTATTTCAGGCCTTTGCCGTGTACGTGTGTGTGTGTGCGTGTGTGTTAAGTTTTGGTTTCAACATCAGGCAGGTTTATGCAATAGGTGTTTGTTGGAGCCTGTTTTCTGTGTACTAGCGTTGTGCCTTCATTAGAATCCCTAATTGTAAACCGATACAGAAAAAAAAAAACATAACTGAAATCTATATGTGTGTGTGTGTGTTTTTGTGTGTGTGTATATATCCCCACGTGTGTATTCGTCTTAGAATATGATGGATTGTAAGATCATTTGTACTTAACGCTGAAGCCCTTCGTCAATGTGAGTCACCGTACATTTTTTTGGGCATAGGCAAGAACAGATGTTTGTGCGTATGTGTGTGTGTGTGTGTATGTGTTTGGGTGGGTGTGCGTGTAAAAATGTCATGGGCAGAAAACCACCCCGTGCCTTCTCCCAAGCTGTTCCCTTCCTGGATCCTGTATTTAGTGACCGATGAGGCAGTCTTTCCCACTGACTCACCAAATGCAATGCAAATGGCCCCAACAGCATGCAAAGAGCATGGAAATGTGTGTGTTTGCGTTAGAAAAAGGCTGACTGGCATGTGCGCGGAAACCAAAACAAAGCAGACACAACTCATATTTATTTATCTATTTCTTTATTTTCATCCCCAAAAAACCCTGAAAAACAGGCACACATATAACGGCTCATTGCCCAACAGCTAACACAGCTCCAAAATGTGACTTTTGAGCTTTTAGCTCTGAGTTGTGTTGCTGCAAAGTATGAATAATACTGTTTTATTTATTTATTTATTTATTTATTTATTTATTTATTTATTTATTTATTTTTAAGATCGGGTCACATTTACATCACAGTTGAGTCAAATGTCTCTAAGAGGAGATGAAGAAAACTCAACACCCTCCTTTTCTTTTCCCCCCCCGTTTCTCTTCTCCCAGATTCCTCCGTGGCAGTGCCGGCGTCCTGTTTTGCTCCGTCTCTCCATGGACCTGAGGGTGGGAGAGCGGGGGATGCGGCCTGGTTCCGACACGGTGCTCCTCTCCCCGCTGCACCCGCCTCTGCTCCTCACGCCTTTCTCCCCGCAGCCCCGCACCACCTTCTCCCAGCAGCATCTACATCAGCAGATCCGGGTAAACGCATCTCCACGAGGGGCCCATTTCGACCGAATGATGAGTTCGAGTGTTGGTTTTGCTTTCTACACATTGCTGAATTCGGTTCTGTTTCGATGGGGACAGTTTAACATGGAGCAGAGGAGGCGGGAGCAGGAGCACCATGAGAAACAGCAGGAGTTACAGCAACTTAAACACAAAGACAAAAGTCAACAGAGTGAGTACATCCACATGCATACGCTCACTAAACTGTCACCTGCTAGTACAAGCTTTAGTAACCATTTAGGGGCGTTTCTCTCAGAGAATTAAACATGACACCTTCAAAAATAATCATGGCCCGGTGAGCTATTCGCGGCTGGAGAGGAAAGTCCCTTTTTGAAGTTGTGCGGTTTTCAACGGTGACGAACTGCGTCACTTTACATTCGGGGCTGTTTGCTTTTAAAATGAGCCCTAAATATAACCCGACAAGTGGAGCTACAACATCAGAGTTAAATATAGTGTTGGGTCGGGGCGCGTAAAGTCACAGGGTCAATATTGACACGGTCAGTCGCAGCACCTGCTGTCAACCTGTTTGCACACACACACACACACACACAACTACGCACACACACACACGTTCGGAGCACACACACTCAAACAAACGCGTCCCCATACAAAGCTGCACACACACGTGCATCCACACTCACCGCTGTGTGCATAAAAGTTGTTGTTTTTGTTTTTTCCGTTTTTTTTTGGCAGAATTGCTTCTTTTCTCTGGTTCACTTGCTGTGTTTATCTGAATTTATGCATCTAACAAGCAGCGGTGGCGTGCACGGGTTCGGCTTTTCCCCGCTGATCCATTTGTGCCGCGATTGGTTGGGGATCCCTTCCATTTTTCAATTAATCGGTCGTTGTCATTGGTTGGCAGGTGCCGTGGCGAGTTCCTTAGTAAAGCAGAAGCTCCAGGAAGTGATTCTCAAGAAACAGAAACAGGCGGCACTGGAAAGAACAAACTCCAACTCTCTGACTGCACACCCCGTCCCATACAGGTAATACAGCGTGCATTTAAGCCAGGGACATAAGTCCAGCTACATGATATGACAATTCTGTTAATAACATTTGTTATTTTAAATGATTTTTTTTTTCAAATTTGTTATTGAAACTGTCCCGTTGCGCTGGGATACCAGGTCAAATTCCTGTGTACTCTGTACATTTCTGATTTCTGAGGGTGCTTGCTTTCTGTTTAACCGAGTGGTTATTTTGTTCTTTCAGAAAGCTGGGCCCTGACCCCAGTTTAACCTCCCGGCCACTAGTCTCATCTCCATCACAGCCTCCGTCTGAGGGCTCCGAGGGCACACCGTTGCGCAGAGCAGGTGAAATATATCAGTCACCCAGTTTCCCACGCTGCCCGTACACTGAGGCGTGTAAATATATCCGTGTTCCGCAAAAACACGATGGCGTTAGATAAAGTTTTCTTTCGAGATGACAGATCTGACTTGTTTGGCTACGCATTTCGTCTCTCATATTTTTAATGAAATGGAATAAACATTCCAACCAAAAAAAGACCCCACTGGACCCTTTTGGCCACATTTATAGATGGGAAAATGTTAGCCTTTAATGAATCCACTCAGAATCATAGCAATCAGATGGCCATGAAAACAAAATTTTTCCTGTTGTCTCACATTTACATGCTAAGAAAACATAGATGAGTAAAAATCAATTAGACTTGATAGACTTTTTTTTTTTTTCCCATTCCGTCATTCCCTTTGAAATCTGAACATATTTTTCTATTCCTCGCTTAAATTTCCCAACTCGCAGGGTATTCTCATTTGATTATGATTAGTTACACATGTGTTTCCAGGGCTATGACGAGTCGAAATGTCTGCCGCGAAAGCTTTAAAGTAGCTTCATGTTTGAGGTTTTACCGCCAGCAGCAGCGGTGGGTAAAAGGGGTCTGAACACAATGGCGTTCGGTAACATTTCCCTTTCTCTCGCTTTCGTTTCTCAGCTTCCGAGCCGAACCTGAAGGTGAAGCACAAGCTGAAGAAACACCTGAACACCCGAAAGAGCCCGCTCACCCGCAAGGAGAGTGCCCCGCCCACCATCAGACACAGAGTGCCCGAAACGCTGGGTAATCGATCACAGCGATGCAGAGTCATTGCTTTAAGCGGCCATCTTTTTAGCTATTTTTCTAATCTGAGAGTCACGTGTGATCTTAAGCACGAACGTGGGCAAAAACTCACCCGACTGTGTGCTTTTCCAGACTCTTCCCCGAGCAGCAGCAGCACTCCGGCCTCTGGATGCAGCTCTCCCAACGACAGCCTGCCCAGCGAGAATGGACTGCTGCCCTCTGCAGGCGGCCTGTCGCACGAGGTCAGAACCCACACGCATTGTCCACTGCGTCGCGTAATATTCACAACTGCAAATAACCCGAAACACCTCATGTAACTATCTCTCACAGTTCAAAAATAGTATGTAGTGTAAATTATGATCACACATCTGCCATTCGCACATGATTATAGGACAAGGATATAAAGAGAAAGTCCACTTTTTGGGCTCGTGTGAAGCGTTTTTTTTTGTTTTTTTGTGTGTGTGTGTTAAAAGGGCTGCTCCATAAACATTGACTTTTTCGCGGCGTTGAGTAATGACATGTTTAAAGCAGCGACACAGGAGCGCGGCAGCTCTTGTTTGTCAGCCGTTTATGCATTATTCATTTAATCACGGAAAGTCAGGGCCGAACACCCTCGGTCACACCTGCTGTGGATGTCCTGACTCATTCGGCCGTGTCAGGTTCGGAGCCAGGGAACAAAAAGCTGAGCTTGATTTCATTAGGCGCCGCAGATTTTGAAAAAACAGAAGAACGACGTGGTGTAAAACGCGTTTTGAGAATATGGAAAAACGTCGACTGTCGCTAAAGTGATGGTGCACTAAGAGGCCCGAGCGTGTAAAGTTTTTTATTCGGTGTTTCCAGGCCCAGAAGCTGCTGCTCAGAGATGGATCCCTGGCTAACTTCACCATCCAGAGCTCCTCCGCTCTGCCCACCATCACTCTGGGACTGCCGGCCAACTCCAGGGTAAAGGCAAGAGGGCGAGAGAAATGGCCCAGAGTAAAAGTGGCCTTTTTCAAAAGCACACACAAGCATGACTTCAAAGACTTTGTGAAAGAAAATGAACTGATAAGTTAAACGGCTTTGACATCCTGTTTTTTAGAAGGAAATGCGTCAGTCAAAGGAAGCACAGTGCTCTTAAAATGCTGCTTCACTCTGACTCAAATTTCTGTGTTACTTAGTTTTTTTTTAATCAATATCTGTGATAAAATTTGAGTGGTTTAGGATTTATTTGTTTATTCATTTATTTCTGTGCCATCTTGACTCTTCATCTTGCGTTATCGGAGCTGATCGGTGTGTAGTTGAAGCTGTAATTGATGCCAAATCTTCACTTCACCTCACTTCTTTTTTTCCTTTTGTTGTTTCTTGTGTTTAATGTGGACAATTGACCAAAATAAAGTGAAGTGAAGTGAAATCTTAAATTTACAGCGTTGTTTATCTGTGTGTGCAGGCTGAAGGGGAGCTGCCCTCCATGAAAGTTGGCCGGGTTCCTGTGGTCACCCCGGGGGGCTCCCCAGTCTTCCTCCCCCTCAGCAGAGATGATCAAGCCGGTCAGTTGAACCCTCACTTGCCGGTCATCATCCTGGAGCCATCTGGTCTGGTGCACTCTCCACTTCTTACTGGTGAGACGCACAGACACCCGTGGACACACACACTGCCCGCACACACACCCAGTCAGCATGGGCTTGACCGCACGCTTTAAAAGTCAATAATCTTTCTATGAAAAGAAAGAAATGAACTGTTTTAGTCTTGAAAACTATAGCTGTAGCTCTTTTCAAATCAACATAGTCACAACCCTTAAAGACTAAACCCTTTCAAAGTTACAAATACTGTTAAACGAAACACGAGAGACGGTTTTTTTTTTTGTCCTAAAAGGACAGATGTCCTGTTCCATTTAACTAGTGTTCACATACCCTGTCGCATGGACCCATGTGGAAAATATTACAAGGATTTTTTATTTTTTTTTGCATTTATGTGTGACCAGTAAAAAATATACAACACAAAGCAGTGGTGACACTGGAACTGTGGTGTAAAGTGATTTGATGAAAGACAGTATTTTACCCCTGTTTTTGTCTGACGTCTCCCTCACCCATGCAGATATAATATAATTTCTTTTTTAAAAGTTCACTAAAGGCCGAGCCTCTAGGCATAATATATCAGAGGTTGTCAAAAATTAAGTTAAGACTTATGTCTCAACCTCTGTTTTGTTAATATTCCTTTAATCCGCTTTTTGTTTGTGTGATTTGACTAATGTGACCAAACAATCATATTCCATGCATTATGAATCCTACATATCTCTATTTATGAAAAAAGCAGATGGCAATTTTAACCTAATTTCAGCTGCTTTAGCACATCTTCATGTAATTCTTCCTCTGCCTTTTTGAACCTGTTCCTCTGCTCTTATCCACCCTGTCTCTCCACAGTTCCAGGCCTGGACTCTGTTCCGTTACCGTTTGCACAGCAGTTGGACCACCTGTCTCCAGCAGGTGTTCAGACCCACAAGCCCATAAGCAGAACGCGCTCGGAGCCCCTTCCTCAGAGCCCCCGCGCCCTCCACACGCATCTCATCCAGCAGCAGCACAGCACACAGCTCCTGGAGAGGCTCAAACAGCAGACTCACCTGGGCAAGGTACTCATACCATTTTACCATTTCCAACAGTTCTGGTCAAATTGAACTGGAAACGTCCTGAATTTATACATATATTTTAGCTGGGAAGCAAGGGTACTTGCTGATGTAAATATTTTTCTGTAGATGAAAGCATCAGGTCAAGTTTGTCAGAAAAATCTCAAGGAAATATTTCAGAATCTGGGAGACTTTATTTTAAATTCTGCTATACTGTAGTCCAGAGATATCTGTCTGCCATTAGCCCACCTCAGCAACTGGTTTTTAATTGTAGATATTTTTAGATTTGCTAAAACTTGCACTAAATGTGAATTCATTTGTCTGTGTTCTGTAGCTAATGTCCAAATCCGAGAAGCCCCGGCTGCATCAGATCCCGTCCGAGGACATGGACTCTGAGGATGGTGGCGGGCTGTCGCCCACTGAGTCCACCTATCACAGCAGGATGAGGGCGGAGTCACGGAGGGACGCAGAACCAACCGCGTCCAAGAGCCACGAGGAGCAAATCAACCTGCAGCACGCCCTCATACTCAACCAGGTTTGGAAACTCTGAGCACTCACGAAGACACGAAGACTGCTGTTCTTCTTAATTCCTGTAGATGGCAGCCTAACTCTGACTTAAAGAGTTCCAGCTGTGGCCTAACTGTTTGGTCTTTTGAAAAAAACCTGATGAAACAGGCATAAATTCGGCATCATGCTTAGTACTGGAAGCTTATTCTTTGGGGAAATGATTGTTTAAAGATCAGTGAAATTACTGTCAGTGGCGTTTAAGAGCACAAGCATCCTCCACGTTAAGTGAGGGCTCTGCTAAATTCTGGGGCCTACAGAACATATGAATATGTACTCAATCTCTTCACCTCTAACTCATACTTACTCTGTAAGTGTCTTTCTTAACGTTCATACAGTGTACAAAACAATGGAGCCTAACTAGTTCTTTAAGGACTCGTGTTTGCATCATGGAATTGTATCAAACTGCATTTTATTTTATTTATTATTATTATTATTATTATTATTATTATTATTATTATTATTATTATTTATTTTATTTTATTCTATATTTTTATATTTTTATTTCTACATTGCATTCCCTTTTCTGTTTTCTCATAGAAGTGTTGTGCACCAAACACCAAAGAAAAATCCCTTGTGGGTGAAAAACCTACCTGGCAATAAACCTAATTCTGATTTCTCCTGGCTTGACTCTGCTCTCTGTCGGTGGACAGTCGCTGCTTTGGGAGCAGCAGAAGCAGCTTCAGCAGCTGCACCGACAGATGGAGACCCTGGGGGTACCTGTGTTGCGTGGCGCGGGCGGGGTCGGAGGCGGTCTGGCCGTCCACCGCCCCCTGTCCCGCACCCAGTCCTCTCCGGCCTCCACCTCCCTCACCCTGCCCGAGAAGCCCCTGAGCCTGGCCGCGCAGGACACCGGCACCAAACCACGCTTCACCACCGGTGAGACGGCCTCGCTTTTTACGCCGGGGGGGGGTCGAGAGGAGTGACCAAATGTGTGCAACCCCCCGATGACCCTTTGATTCAAGCGGCCTCAGTCGGTCATCGGAGGGTTGTGCGTCAGCCACCTCTCGACCGGGGTCATCGTTTCGCTTTCAATGTTTTTGTTTGCAGTGTTGGGGAGTAACGGATCACTTGTAACGACGTTACGTAATTTCATTACAAAAAAAAAGTAACCGTAATTCGTTACAGTTACACTGAGAAAATATGTAATTCAGTTACCGTTACTTCCGAAAATATTAAGAATTACAAATTTAGTTACATTTTTTAAAAAATATAAAGAAAAACCGTTGAAAAATAAGCAAGTCACTGATAGACGAAGCGTATTGATTTACTAATATTTGACTGTTTGGTGTTGCATGACAAACGTTTATCGATGTCTATGACGTAGCCTAGCTTTAGCCCACCTAGCCTACCCAACTGTAGGGTGACCAGACGTCCTCTTTTTCCCGGACATGTCCTACATTTCAGACTAGGGTTGTCAAAAGTATCGATACTTAAAAAAGTATAGATACTAAAATGTTGTATATGGATACGACTGACCTGCCGTCGCTGCGCCCCTTGTCTCCGATTTATTTATGGATTTATTTACGTTGTTTATGATCATTAACAAGACGTTAGCCTTGAACTGCTAGCTGCGGCCAATAGCTAATAATAACATGCTAAAATTAATCAATACTCATGAAAACCTTAAAGTAATCAAAAAGTATCAAAAGTAATTAGTTACATTACTTTTTAAAAGTAATCAAAAAAGTTACACTACAATTACATTTTAAACAAGGTCACTTGTAACTGTAACGGATTCCATTTTTAAAGTAACTTATCCAACACTGTTTGTTTGTGTGCGCAGGTCTGGTGTACGACTCCCAGATGCTCAAGCACCAGTGCACGTGCGGAGACAACAGCAGCCATCCCGAACACGCGGGCAGAATACAGAGCATCTGGTCCCGGCTGCAAGAGAGAGGCCTCAGAGGCCAGTGTGAGGTAGGGCACGCGCGCACAGACTCACTTCCAGGGCCAAAACAGTCCAGCGTCAGTGTTTTTTTACCTTATCTGTTAGCTGAGTGGATGCAGACGCTGAGATAGGCGGGGCGAGGCAAATTTATTTGTATATTTTTATTTATTTATTTATTTAATCAGGACAGTGCACATTAATTAACATTCTCATACATATTGTAAATTAGCCAGATTCTAGCATAGTTGCTAATTCGCATCTGTCGTCCTGAGGCAGGAAGACAAAACAACACAAAATCACATAATACAATATCAGTTAAAACAGAGAGAAACACGTTCAGACAAGGACATTTAAAAAAAAAAAAAAAATTAGTGATTGCATGACTGGGAACTTTTGAGAAACAGTTTAAGGTACTTTTTTAATTGTGCAATAAGTGGGACCTTCCCTGATGTTTGTTGGGAGGCTGTTCCAGAAGTGACCCCCTCTGACTGATAGAACGGTTTGTCCATATATAGCACAATGTATAGCACAATACGTGTACAAGTCAAGTCGAAGTGCTTTACATAAAAGATTCAAAAGACAAAAGTGAGAGTTTAAAAGCAAAAATTCGGAAAAAAATGCAAAACAGGTTATAATCATTGGTTAAATAGAGTGAAGTGTGCAGATAAATTGCCTCTGAATGTCATAGAAATGTTTTCAGCTTGGATTTACACATTGTTAGAGTTAAGGGCCTGTCTCACTTCTTCTAGATTCTTCTGTCTGCGACTTTTCTTCCTCATTTAAAATCACATCCCCTATCCTTAAGCCACAAACAGTGGGGGAAATAAGTATTTGACCCCTTGCTGATTTTGCAGGTTTGCCCACTTACAAAGAATGCTTATTTTTCCTCATCAGATGGTTATCAATTTTTATAAATTCATATGATGTGATTTTCTGGAATTTTCTTTGGGATTCTGTCTTTCACTGTTAGAATGTACATTTGATTAAAGTTATAGATCGTGGCATTCTTGGTAAGTGGGCAAACCTGCAAAATCAGCAAGGGGTCAAATACTTATTTCCCCCACTGTATGTGATAAAAGTGCATTAGATTAAGCTTTTTTTGTTTTTCTGTCCATCCAGAGTATCCGTGGCCGTAAAGCCACGCTGGAGGAGCTGCAGTCGGTTCACACGGAGCGCCACGTGCTGTTTTACGGCACCAACCCTTTGCACAGACTCAAACTGGACAACCGCAAGCTGGCTGGTGGGTTGTCTCCCTTTATTCCATTCCTGCATCTTCCCACTCTTAAAATGATATTCAAAATGGTGCACAGAAAATACTTGAGAATCGCACGTTTTTTTTTGTTTTAGGAATCCTCTCTCAAAGGATGTTCGTGATGCTGTCGTGTGGGGGTGTCGGGGTAAGAGAAAAACACCCATCTGCACAACATGCCCCACCGGAGATGATGTGGTTTCAAAGAGACACAACTAAGATGAGCGAAGGGAGAATTGAAAAAAAGACCGAAATGAAAACAGGATATTAAAGAGGAAAGGATAGAGGGCTCAGCTCGCAGTGCTGATGTTGGGCTGACGGTCTGTGTTGAACCGTGACAAGTCGGACTAATGAAAGCAGCATGGCCGTGACCAGGGATGAAAGAGATGCCTTAGATTCCAATCCAGGGGCCAGATGGACAGAAAATCTAATTGTAGGGTAATATAGTGTGCGAGAGTAAAAAATTCGTGTTAAAGACTGTTGAGACAAATCCAGTATTTAGTGCGACGTGTGGTTCCACATGCACGGATGGGTGTGGATGGCTCCCTGTGATGTCCGCCATGCTTTCCTTTTTGATTAACAGGTGGATAACGACACCATCTGGAACGAGCCGCACACCACCACGGCGTCCCGCATGGCGGCAGGCAGCGTTGTGGAAATGTCGTTCAGGGTGGCCAAAGGGGAACTGAAGGTGAGAAACTCTGGTTCAACATCAGGCAGCAAAGCGTCTGAGGCCCAAAGTCATTCTGTGAACGCCACACAGCCAGTTTGAATCATGCATGAATGCATGTTTTTCTTATTTTTATTCTGTGCAGACTGTGGGCATTTTATAACAAAATATTAACTCATTTGCAAGACAATCTGAAACATATCTTGAATGATGGTTGCAAAGATGAATGCACATGATCCTGGATGATTTTAGATGATTTTATTAGAGGCGTCATACAGCACATTTTTAGCCTAGCACTTCTTGAAATTCCTCTAGGTTTATATTCTTTGTAAATCACTTTGAAGCCATATGAGCTGCAGATATTAAGGCTTTTTTAAAAATCAAAAACAGAAGCTACTCAACAGTTAGTTATGTAAGCACGTACAAGCCAAGAGAAAAAGGTCTTGTCGAGATGCATGACAGGTTTGATTACGGTAGAAATATGGGTGTTTATTTAAAGTTTGATTAAAGCTCGTGTCTTTCGGTGAGGCGGAGATGAATAGCGTCTTTCTTTTTCTGCACAGAACGGCTTTGCTGTGGTCAGACCGCCAGGGCACCATGCGGACCCCTCCAATCCAATGTAAGTCTGCCCCTGTGTGGGTGTCTGTTTCAGCCTCTTGTTCAAGCCAGACAGGAGCTTTGTCTCTTGTGAAGGCAAGAGAGAAGACAAAATGTGAAATTACTTTCTATCTGATGGTTTGATTCATTCATAAAAAAAGTATCTTTAGCTGAAGCTATAGTTGTTTTACAAAATGCCGCATGATAGTTCTAATACAACTCAATTCAAATGTGAGTGATCAGTAATATTTGATTAGCATGTTTTTTAGGCTGATGTGTTATTTCTAAAGCCCAGACTTTAACACGTTTATTTTTAATTGAGTAATTACAGAGAGAATCATTAGATTTAATTGAATTCCATATTTCTTGAGTCCCTAATTTGTGGCACAGCCTGATGGCTTCCAGTTTCAATTTGAGCCATGCATAAGAAGCCCGGGACACGTGTGGGGTCATCAGCTTGGCTCGTCTCCATGGCACCCAGTCTGTGTGCACACTTTGCATTCCCATAATTCTGCTTTGGTTGGTGGCATGGCAAAGATTTCAGTCCTATCTGAAAGTTAAGACATTGGACTTAACATACAAAACACGCATGCATTGCGTTAAAACATGCAGTTCCACAATGAATCGTAACATTGTCCATCTTTGACCCCTCTGCCCGTCTCAGTGCGGGTCACACCGCTGGTTGTTGGACTTGTTGAACGGCGCTTGACCCAGGTTGTTTTTTTCAATTCACATCTTTGCCTTTTAGGGGTTTCTGTTACTTCAATTCTGTGGCAATAGCTGCCAAGCAGCTCCAGCACAAGCTCAACGTCAGCAAGATCCTGATTGTTGACTGGGTAAGACCTTTGTTTACTCTCTTATCCTCAAGCAAAAACGATTTTGCGTGCTCATCTAATCCGTGCAGTTATTAGTGGTCGAATATCCAGGATTGTGGCTTTGGATTTTGTTTAGTAATAACTTCCCTCACCCGTCCTCTTAGGATGTCCACCATGGTAACGGCACACAGGAAGTGTTTTACAGTGACCCCAGCGTTCTCTACATCTCCCTTCATCGCTATGACGACGGAAACTTCTTTCCCGGCAGCGGGTCACCAGCTGAGGTGGGTGAAAGCCTGATTTGAACTACAGAACTACGGATATGGGATCGGTCTAATCGGTTTTGGTTGGCTTTAGGTGGGCACCGGAGCGGGTGAGGGCTTCAACGTGAACGTGGCATTTACAGGAGGACTGGAGCCACCGATGGGGGACGCTGAATACCTCGCCGCGTTCAGGTAGAACCCAACTCTGAGATGTCATTAGCAGTTTAAGGGATGAAAGTGATCGTATGCTGCTTTCGTTTATTTCTTGACAGTCGGGTTGAAACAGGATTTCCACAGAGACTTTACCAAAAGATTTACATAACTCTGGACTTTTTGTCCTTACAATCATTTTTCAACATCTTCATATTTTGTTTACAAATCTGAATCCACATTTTTTGGTAAAATGCTACATTGCTTGTGCTGATTTGAGTCTGTATCAAGGAGAGACATCTAGTGGACAACACGCAAAAATTCATATTTACTCAATTCAATGCCTTTTTTAAAATTTCACGACCACCTGCGTGGAATTTTGTTGTCGAGCTGTAATTGGACAATTCCTGCCATTTCCTCAACACAAAGCCACAACAGACGCACTCTAGCTGATCAGAGGCTCGGCCCTGCGTCGCCTCTGACGTACTTCTTGCGTAATTAATAATCCTTGTCATTTGGGGAGCATGTGTCTGGCGCTCCCCGTTTCCAATACCTTCAGATGTTTTACAGTAAATGCTCTCCAGGTCTTGTGTTTGACAGTTTGCGGACTGTTGCTTCCTGCTGGTGGGTTGGATAATAGTCACTGGTGGGTGTTTTAGCTCCAATAAAGGTTCAGCGGTGTGGGCCTGTTGGTCGTCTGGTGCTTCAGACCCCAAGGAAACATTGGCAACCGCATGGTTACTGGAATAGAGGCACGGTGGATCGCACCCAGACTTAAAGGGTGGGAGGATGGGGAAGGGGGGAGGGCTATGCATGCATGGGTCTGCTTACATGAGCTCCAAACAAACATACGGGGATAAACACTGAGTTCCTCTAATGAATGAGCCACGATCCTGAAACCAATAAAAACATCTATATGTCATTGTCAGCTGAGCTCAAAAGACTTTGGTCAATTCCTCACCTCTAAATCTGTTATAATTCAGAGAATTTATTTAATGCTTCGGGGAAAAAAAGCATTCTGACATACAAGTTATTTAAGGGATCACGTTGACCTCTGACCTTTCTGTGGAGCATACCAACAGAAAGGTGGACAGATCTTCCAGGGATGATCATTCAGACTGGGAGGGTGCAGGTTGGTTTCACCCAATGCCGGCTGTCTTTGGGATGGAACCAAATATGACAAAATATGTAAAAGTCAACCTACAGATGAGGCTGAGTTACTGCTACATGTGTAAAACAAATAAAGTCGACCGAACAGAGTTTAACACACGAGCTCGGCGGGTATTCGCGGATCAGGTTTTGAAAACTAAAGAAACCGAGGCTTGTGAATCACCATCCTGTTATGTTAGCTACCGGAGGGGGTTTCAGTGTGAGAACTGTCAGCATAAAGCAAGGCCATTTTTTTCTTCTTCGATGAAGTGGGAGTAAAGAATTTTAAGAGATCTTTTTTTCCCCATATATCTGATTTACCATCTGCATACAGTGCTGCTGCAGTTCGGGGGTTTGTTAAAGTTTGATGCTCTTCATTTCTAAATCTTTACATCAGTGAAAGAGGAAAAAACTAAACAAAACGTGTGCATCTAGTTGATATGAAATCCGACTTTTACGTCCCCCAATTGTAACGCTTGTCTACACGTTCGAATGTGTAAGAAGACATTGGGGAGATTGTCCTTTGCATGCCGAGGCCTCATAATCTCCTTTCAGCCCTAATGAGGAGGCGGTTTGCTTTAACAGCTTGAAAATGGAGTCTCCCACCTCTCTCCACCCACCACTTAAATGGCTGCTCAGCCGCTTTGTAATTGATAAAGTTTTAAAGCGTGCCGTGGTCTACGTGTAAAAGAAAATCTCGAGCCTCTTTAATGGGATGCATTTTATGGGTATGTTTGTGTGTGCCTGAGCTTCAGAGAGGGGGGCTTTGCTGCGTTTTCACCTTATCCTTCACTCGCACCCTCCTTATTTTCCATCACCCCGACCAGCACACGTTCTCCCTCTTCCTGTCGTCCCTTGATTGATCTTTAATAAGCATCCCCTTCTCCCCTTCACCCTCCATCTTTCCATTAGTGTGTCTGCTTTAATGGTTCTGCTGGGGAGGCGGGGTTGGGGTTTTGTGGTCGGGTATTGTTTGCATGCCTGTATATATGTGTGTGTGTGTGTGTGTGTGTGTGTGTGAGTGCATGCTCTTGATCCATGTCCACATCAGTTTGATTAAGTGTACGGCTGCTTTATTGATTATGTGGCGAATCTGATCTTAAACAGCCAACTGCCGCAAGATGAATTCTCCTCTCCTCGTTCGGCTCTTGCATGTGCAAAAGGGGATATTAGCATTTAAATGCTAATGCTGGAATGCATATGCACGCTTCCACCCTGTGCTCATTTCTGTCTATGAGCTCATGTTGACTTCTCGCATGTGATCGTGATAGCCGCGTGTGCGTGTGCGCTGAAGTGTGTGCGCACAAAGACGGGGAGGGAGGAAGGTCTCCAAAGTCCCCGGGCAGAATAATGAAGGTAAATGGATCCCAGATGGACTGCTTTTCCTCTTTTCTCTCTGTTCAGTGACGTGAGGAGAGTGACAAGCCCCTAATGGGAAACAGACTTGCGCGCTGCCGCTTTGAACCTCACCGACAGCACGGAGCTGCATAGTCAACCCACCCCCCCACCCCCCCCACCCACCTCTGGACAGCATAGCTTTCCTTCCTAACAACAATAGCATTAAGGAAATATGCATCTGATTCAAGTCCACAAACAAACTGTGCATGAGATCTGACATCAGCATGTCTTTGTTGAGCAGATTTGTCTCAGCTGAGGCTTTTTAGGGCTTCTCCCGCACAGGAACAATAGTCCTTTGTCAGCCCCTTTTCGAGCTGCTGAGTCTGGGATCTGCCAAAGCTGGGTTTCACTTGTCAAGTTAATGACTTCTTTAGAGCGGATCAGGAATATTTGTTATGTTCAGGAGGCTGTCCAGTTTGGAGATGCCCAGTTTGATATGAAAACGGCTAAATCACGGGTCAGTCTTCATGTGTGAGCGGGTTAAAAAACAATCCATCTTTGAGTCTGTATGTCATGAACCTCTGCGTCCAAATCTACTTGGATGCGGGCCACTGCTGGTTGTTACCGAGAAAATATTTATTTCTATGGCTGACAGCTCGGGACAGGCTGCTTAAATGTTGTGTTTCATCTTTTTTCTTCATATCTCAGTCAAGTTTGTGCTTGAATGAAAACCGAATCCTAATCAATTCTTATCTTACGATGTGCAGCATAATATCTGAATGATACACTTTAAGTTGTGTCTAGCATGAAGTCGCTGTGTGTGAGTGGATGAAATAGAGTAGAAATTATTATTAAATGTGCAAATCGGGGATAAAAACTATTACACAAAAAAAAAGAAATCATATCACTACTCACTAAAGTAAGTAGAGGCAGGAGATCCATAACAGAATATTGGTTAGTAAATGACATGCTTGCACACACTTTTGAGCGGTGTTAAGCTCTAATGCACCAGATCTTTGGTCGATCATTTCAGTCATGGTGGGCTGTGTGTGTGTGTGTGTGTGTGTCTGCAGGTCTGTGGTGATGCCCATCGCCCAGGAGTTCTCCCCCGATGTGGTTCTGGTGTCGGCTGGGTTCGACGCTGCGGAGGGAAACCCTCCCCCTCTGGGCGGGTACAAGGTCTCCGCCAAATGTAAGCACCAAGTGAAAGGCCTCACCTCCGTTCCTTCTTTTCTTTTCCTTTCTTTTTTTTTTTTGGTCCGGAACAAACGTTGTTGAGAGCTTTACTTTGTGGGCCGTTGGTTGCCTTCACAGACAATCCTGAAAGGGCTGCATTGTGCCTTGTGCTGTGCCTCGTTCGATCCCTTATGTAACAATAATTATCGTGATTAGTAGCAGGTTTGTTGGAGCGGGAAGATAGAAAACCGCGGCTAAACTGGTCGGCAGCTGTTTCGGCTCACCTTTTGCTAACATGCATGTGTCTGTGCACCACAGGTTTCGGTTTCCTGACCCGCCAGCTGATGTCCCTTGCGGGGGGCCGTTTGGTTTTGGCCCTTGAGGGGGGTTATGACCTCACGGCTATCTGTGATGCGTCTGAAGCCTGCGTCAGTGCGCTCCTCGGAATTCAGGTAACGAATGCTTAGTAAAAGAGTGAACTTGTATAGTGTATCTCTAGAATGCATCTTTGAAGCTTCTTAAAAATTCCCCGAAATGAGCGGGTTAAAAAGTAACACTATTTTAACTAAACTGGTATTTTCCTCCTTCCTCGTCTGCTTAGGATCCAATGCCAGAGGAAACCCTGCTCCAAAAGCCCAATGCCAACGCCGTCCGCTCCCTCCAGACTGTCATACAGATGCAAAGTGAGCAGCAGTGCAAGCTGCCGACTTCTTTGCTTTTGGTTTTGAACGCCAAACCGACACGTTTTTTGCGTTTTGCGTTTCAGGTCAGTACTGGCAGAACGTGAAGGCTTACGGAGGGGCGGTGGCTCTGTCGCACCTGGCTGCTCAGAGAAAAGACTGCGAGGAAACGGACGCCGTCAACGCTTTGGCCTCGCTCTCTGTGGGGGTCATGCCCAACAAGAGGTACGGTCCATACCCCGCTCGGCGCCCCACGGGCGATCCGATACACCCACACCTCTCGTTGACTCATTGACTGCCCGTTTTTTGACTGATTTTTCAAGAGCCACAGAATAGTTTGTGCTATGACTATGTAAACACCGAACACACCAAAAGAAAGAGTAGACTCTTCTTTCATCAGGAAAAATAAATTTGTTTCTACCTTATTCCGTTCTTCCTCAACTTGCGTCTCACCGGCGACATGTTCTCTCATATCGAACCGCTACCTTTTTCTTATTTGCCTACAGTCTATGCTAATCTCCCATCAAAAGTGGCACTGCCACCTAGAGGGTCAATTTGTTACTACATACTCTGTCTAGAAGCCGATATTTACGGACAAGCATTAGCAGATCGTCCCCCAGCCACTCTCGTTGAAAAACATAAAAGACGTCTATAGCCGTCTTTGGCAGCCAATGAGTTAACTTTAAACCTCTAAATGACGCCTGCTTTGTTTCGCTTGCTTCCTTTTAGCCTCCCCGACGAGCCAATGGAGCATGACAGTGACTCCATGTAAGACAGTTCAACCGATCACCTCACGGAAGTCGCTTTTTCACGGAGCGTGCGCCACCTGTGGCCTTGGATCTCCTGCGCTGTCGCACCGCCACTGAGCCCCCACCCCCCCAACCTCTAGCCTTCTTCTCGCTCGCGCCGCGGCCGGGGCTCCACGCCGAAGCTGCAAATCGGAGCGCCGCTGGGCCGTCAACGGCTGGGCCGAGGCCCAAACCTCGTAAAACCTCACCAAAGAGCAGTTCAAGTTCGTTTTGACTTTTCGTTTTTTTTTCGTGACTGACGTCGGACTCGTGTCTACGTGCCGAGGTTTGGAGCCACAAACCTCTGATTCACCTCGAAGCACTGTGTCCCAGCAGCTGACTTGTTGCCTTAACTTTGCCTTATCTTAAGACCAACATCAGGTTTCAGGGGGAAAAACGACTGTGGATTATTGATTATTTTTCCCCTCTACCGCATTGCCTCACATATCAGAGTTCAAGTAAATGCTGACCAAACGAGTTGCAAAACGATAGAGAGCGAACCCACTGTGACAGCAGGTGTAAAGCATGTGCATGTGCATGTGCACGTGCACGTGTGCTTGATGGATACAATGCAATAAAATCTCCAAGAAAAAGTCCAGAGGAAGATGAGAGTATAGATGGAGATAGCCTGTTTTGATGATGTCATTACATACAGTTTAACCACTAGAACACAGCAAAGAACTCCAGGAAACGAGAGAACAGGAGGACACAAAGTGGACAGCTCTGGTTATGTATATAAAAAAAAGAAAAAGAAAAGACAATGACCCTTTGTTGTTTTATTGCACTGTTCATTCCATAATGTGAACCAGAAGAAATTCCAAAGCTCTGGGATAAAAAGTCCTCTCTGTAGATTATTTAATTTTTTTGTTTTGTTTTTTATGATTTGGATGATGGTGACGCTCACCATCTTTTTTCCCAGTTTTCATCTGAGATGTCTTATAAAGTCTCTTTGTCTTTACGTATGGGCTTAAATACTGTAAAGTTGTGTTTCCTACTAATTCAATTTGACAAGTAGGCAAGATTTTAAGATCAAGAACTTTTTCCTCTGCTGTTCAGTGTCTTATTTTACCATTCGTACACATAAAGAAAAACAACACGCATCTGAAGCAACATTGGACCATTATTGTACCACTAGTATTGAATATTGTATGTTATTACTTATATTTGAGACGAAAGGAGTGTTCATTCCACCCTGGCACCACTGAGGACCATTGTATTGTTCTTTCTTAGCGATACTGTTAATGCACTTAATGGACATCATCCAAAGAAAACTGCCTTAAACGGCCTGCTCTTGGTAATGGGACTGTATAGATGAAATACAAGAACAGGTATGAACATTCTGCTTTTAAAAGACAACATTTGAACCTGTGGATTTAGATGAACATCACATATGCAGTCGTTTGTATACCGTTTGCTTATGAGTACAATGACCTGATCTGGTCTGAATGTTTTCTTTACCTTAAAAACTTTAGTCACACTCATACTGATGCATTTCGTTTAGTTTGTTGGATAAAACCTTTTTTATTGTGTGTGTGCTTTTTCTTTTTTCTCTCTCTCTCCGAATTGTACTTGATGATAAGTGTTCTCGTGACACAGCTAGCCCAAACAGCACAATAGAGTATTTCGTCTAGCCCGAATTTGGTCATTTGAGGACAATTTTGGGACCTCCGTGCTAGAAGGCATGTAAGGGCTTCGCATGACAACATTAGACTGTTTTTTAGTTTGGAGGTTATTGTTTTGCAAAATTGAACTTACTATAGTTGTTTTGTTTTAGGTTTTTGATGACCATTTCTCGTGTTTTAAGATTGGAGCTGGAGGGCATTGAGTCTTAATTAATGGCCAAAAGTAAAGGAAAAATTCTAACTTAGTTTAAGTTCAATTAAAAAGATAATCTACACACTAAACTCTCCTGAAACTTAAAACTAACATCATTCTGATTTGGGTCGTTTTTTTGGTTGGAGTTCACTTGGCCGTGAGAAGTGTTACCAGTTTGGGATCCGGTTAGAAAACCGTGCGGGTGCTTGTTTTGATCAGGCCCATTTCACCATATGCTGAGGAGCTTTACCTGTAACGGTTTCACAGTAAAGACCAAAATTTCAGATCTCACTGTAGCGGAGGTCCCACTGTTTTTGAAGAATAAGTCTGTTTGAGAGGAAACTTTCGAGAGGATTGGTGTTCTGAGTGAGTGGATCCAGTATGTAGTTTGCTCTTTGCAGGTGTTTCCAGCTTTGACATTACACGCTGTGTATGTTTGAACTGTCAGTGAAGTGAATGTCTGAGTGTGTGTGTGTGTGTGTGTGTGTGTGTGAGAGAGAGAGAGAGAGTGAGCACTGGTGATTACACGTGCACTTGACTTGTACATATGCACACTTCTGTCATGCATTTGTATGCGTTAGTGTCTGTGTCCCCCAGATACTGTAAATGACCATTTGTATTATAATCCTAGTGGCTGATTTTTTTTTTTTTTCTACTTGTGTAGAGGCCAGTACTGCCTCGGCTCTTAATTCTCTTTCATTCTCTTGTAAATTCTACCTTCTTCTTAAAGAAAGACACTGTAAATAGAAAACTCGAAGACCAAAATACACATCACACGTGTGCCTCGATGCATTCACTAGCATGTGTATTTGCAACTCTTAGTTAACTGGACTCTCAGTAACTCCGTATCTCCGAACATGACATTGAAATTTTTATTTCATTCTATTTGTAACTTGCTTGGATTTTTTCCACATTTCCCACCATGTGTATGTATAGAAAGATTGTCTATTTTCTACTTTTTGTCTTTCTTCTTGATTAAAAGAAATATTTCCACTATATGTATTAAAGTCTTGAATTTCTCCACGTTTCCATGTTGTGTCTGTAGATTGGACCTAGATTATTTATATGTCTATATACAGATGTAGCATATCTACATATTGATAGATTAATTTGTTTTTTTTTTGTAAAGCATACTAAAGATTAGCTACTTACTGTATATTTAGGGAAAGACACATCTAACATCTTCTGTCAGACTTTGTACATACAGTATTTTGCATTATATTAAAACCAATACACTCCAAAACATTTTACACACATTATTCTTTTAAATCAGTTTATTTCCAGGAGGATGCATTTAACGGGCTTTAGTATTGGTATATCTTTGCTTGTTTTTCCCATATGTTCTGATCAGTTGCAACATTTTATGCTAATATACTACTTTCCTATACTTTGCGCATTGTGAAATGTACTAATATTTAGATTGGTCCGCAAAGATTCTGCCTGAACAGCCCTGATTTGGAGCACTTCAAATCATTCAAGCTTTCTGAATTTTCTGGGGAAAACGAGGACCCGCTAAAATCAAAGTAAATGTACAGGCGGGTACCAAAGTGGATTATGACAAAAGCCAAATGTGCCTCTGACCATCTTTGATTTACTTGCTGGTTTGTGTTTTTTGGATTAATTCATTAATTTATTTTTACACCACTTTCTAATTAATTGTGTGAAAGGGAAATAAAATACAATGATTTGCAGATAAATGTCCACATATACTTATTTGAATGTACCACAGAATGAGGAACAAATAGTTTCTCCACACAATGACATTTCTGTAAGCAGTGAGACTAAAATCCAAAACTGAATGCTAGTGACCCTGAACCTCTCGGCCAGCTCGGCGCTGAAAACATCACTCTGTAAAGGATATCACCACTCGGGCTCCATAACACTTCAGGACACTTTGTCAGTTGGCGCAATTCCCTGCTTCGTGTCCAAGTGAGAGTTCAAACGCAAAGAGAAAGCCAGATATCAACAGCCTGGGTTGGACGGATGCAGCATCCAAAATGGGTTGTGGCCTGACCAGTCCTCCTTTTGAATAGTTTTTGGGAATCGTGGCTGCAGAGTCATTTATCAGCATCTGTGACGATACAAAGCTGTTAGTGAGGGTCATCTGTGAGGGGAGGGCTAATGCTGTGAAGCCCACACGGGTTTCAAACTGTTCACGCTATTGTATTGAGTTGAACATCAATTGGGAAAAATTTCATGTCTCAATTCAATTGGAATATAATTGTAGATACACGGCCGCTTTCCAAATGGAGTTTAATCATTTGAAAAATGACCAATTAGCTTATTAAAAATAAACAGTTGTATGTATCGAGTTGCTCAAGGTTTGAGGTACTTGGACTATTTTATGCCCATGTCAATTTAGAATGTTATTTTTCATAGTTTCAAGTGAGAATTTGTGAAATTTTGATTGCATGAACACAAGAGCATGCCAAATAACATAAAATTATTAGCCTCCTTTTAAAAAGCCTTGAGCCTGTAGATGCAAGAACTGAATATTAACAGCACTCTAAGTCAAATTACACAGATCTAGATAGTTAAATAGGAACTGAAACGCATCATTCGTTTGATATATGGACTGAATATTTAAAATGGACTGAATAAATGTAATATTTACAATGCCATTTCGGGACTTTTACATAGTGTGAAGTTCGAAAAAAGTCTTAAGCAAGTAAGTTCACTCCAGTTTACAAACACACCATATTTCTTCTTAATCTATTAATTGCACAGCTTTTAAAAGTTTAAAAGTTTACTCATACCTCATGTCAAAGCTTTAATGATTAAGCTATGACTAAAGTGGCAGGATACATGAGCTGAAGCCCACTGTTGCTCAACTGAAGAGATGGAGTGCAACTATAGCATGTAATTTAGGTCCAAACAGGCTATAAATATTGCCTGAGCCTTTAATTGCACATTAACTTGTTCTTCTTGGAGGAATTAACTGTTCCTGAATGACCAGGCAAAGGCACAAAGATCTCGTTAAAAAAAGCAAGACTTTTGGGCAGGAGGGAGGAAGGGAAAGGAAGGGAGTCGATTTAACAAGAGAGACAGGAGACAAAGAGGGTGGGGTGGCAGAATAAATCTCCACACTGTTAGTCACCGTGTTTTTTCTAAAAAAGAAAAGAAAAAAAGTGCATGAGCTTCTGGAAAAGAATTTCTCAACAAGAAAAAA